AAAACAAACAAACAAACATACATACATACATCACTGTTCACGTTATTGTTCTCAAATGCAAAGTATGACAAACTCAGTATGACGAGAACTCAGCATGACGAAAACTAAGTATGACGAGAACTCAGTATGACGAGAACTCAGTATGATAAAAACTCAATATGGCGAGAACTCAGAATGACGAGAACTCAGTATGACGAGGACGAAGTATGACGAGAACTCAGTATGACGAGGACTCTTAGGATTCATCAGAATTACCATTTGTAAACGTGGAGAAATTTGTTAAAATAGAAGTTTGCGACACACGGTTCAGAATGTATGTTTCTCAGCGAGATTTCAACAAAGAGGCCTCCGGTGGAACATGGACAAGCAAGTCGCCCTCTCAAACAGTTTTGACAGCAAGAATTTAATCATACTGGAGACACGTGTCCACAATATCTGACATGGAAAGGGGTCGGTCGGGTAGCCTAGTGGTTAAAGCGTTCGCTCGTCACGCCGAAAACCCGGGTTTGATTCCCGACATGGCTACAATGTGTGAAGCCCATTTCTGGTGTCCCCCGCCGTGATATTGCTGGAATATTGCTAAAAGCGGCGTAAAACATACTCACTCACTGACATGGAAAGATACCCTCGTGTGTTTTCTAACAGGAATAAATTTACAACACTTGCGATCGCAAGATGCACCAATCAGTTTAGAAAATTGAAGTCCGCCTTGTTAAACGACTGGAGCCTTGATATGGCCCGGAAGAAACGTTTGAATCTTCTCCCTGATGATATTTCTCCGATCAATTTTCAGAGGAAATGCTTTTCTAGGGGTAAGAGGATAGTGTTGTTGTATCGTCATTACAAGAACTGTGATGTTCCAGGCTTCCAAGCCAAGCTACCCAGGGGAACTCAGGAGCAGAAGGAGTCTCCTGTGGCCAGTGCTTGTCGTGTAAAACTGATGAGGTTCCGGTGCTCACGATGTGTGCCATCATCGCCTTACAGCGTGTGATTCCGGGTGGAATAGGTCTTCAGCAACCCATGCTTGCCGTAAGTGGCGACTATGCTTGTCGTAAGAGGCGACTAACGGGATCGGGTGGTGAGGCTCGCTGACTTGGTTGATGCATGTCATCGATCCCAATTGCATGGATCGATGCTCATGATATTAACCACTGGATTGTCTGGTCCAGACTCGATTGTTTACAGACTGCCGTCATGTAGCTGGAATATTGCGTTAAACAACAAACCAACAACCTCACAGCGTGTTCCGTGAATATCCGGGTTAGAATTGGTCATAAGCAACCTGACGCGGCGGGGTAGCTTAGTGGTTAAAGCGTTCGCTCGGTTCGATTCCCGACATGGGTACAATGTGTGAAGCCCATTTCTGGTGTCCCCCGCTGTGATATTGCTGGATTATTGCTAAAAGCGGCGTAAAACCATATTCACTCACTCACTTACTTCAGCAACCCATGCTTGCCGTGAGAGGCGACTTACGGGATCGGGTGGTAAGGCTCGCTGACTTGGTTGATGCATGTCACAGTATCCCGTAGCGTGGATCATTGCTCATGATGTCAATCACTGGATTGCCTGGTCCAAAATCGTTTGCTACAGGCCGCTGTCAACCACTTTAGTGTCAAAAGGGACAGTGAATTTAATAATGTAAATGATTTCGTTGGATTTAACAAAAAGGACAAGGTCAGGTTTGGGTCTATTTCAAAAAATTATATAATTGTCATTTTCCATGACGCCCTCTACATATTCTGTGTCGTGCCATGGATGGACCTCTGATCCAAAACCACAAACATGGCGAAGACGAAGTAATAACAGGATCGAGCCACGCCATTATTTGTGTTATTGTTATTATTATTAGTAGCAGTAGTAGTAGTAACAGTAATAGTAGTAATAGTAGTAGTAGTAGTGACAGTAATAGTAGTAGTAGTAGTAACAGTAATAGTAGTAGTAGTAACAGTAGTAGTAGTAACAGTAATAGTAGTAGTAGTTGTAACAGTAATAGAAGTAGTAGTAACAGTAGTAGTAGTAGTAGTAGTAGTAACAGTAATAGTAGTAGTAGTAGTGACAGTAATAGTAGTAGTAGTAACAGTAGTAGTAGTAGTAGTAGTAACAGTAATAGTAGTAGTAGTTGTAACAGTAATAGAAGTAGTAGTAACAGTAGTAGTAGTAGTAACAGTAATAGTAGTAGTAGTAGTGACAGTAATAGTAGTAGTAGTAGTGACAGTAATAGTAGTAGTAGTAGTAACAGTAATAGTAGTAGTAGTAGTAGTAGTAGTAGTAACAGTAATAGTAGTAGTAGTAGTAGTAGCAGTAGTAGTAGTAACAGTAATAGTAGTAGTAGTAGTAGTAGTAATAGTAGTAGTAGTAGAAGTAGTAGTAGTAGTAGTGATAGTGTCATTGTTGTTACTATCATAATTAATAGGAGTAGTGTTATCACCCAAATCAGCCGCATAACGGTGGAAGTCTCCAAGGGAATCGAACCCGGTCCTAGGCGTGGCGAGCTACAGCTCAGTCCTGCCCCCCACCGCAATGACGGTGTTGCCCTGACAACATGCGTTAACTCAACCCTACCCCCCACCGCAATGACGGTGGTGCCCTGACAACATGCGTTAACTCAACCCTACCCCCCACCGCAATGACGGTGTTGCCCTGACAACATGCGTTAACTCAACCCTACCCCCCACCGCAATGACGGTGGTGCCCTGACAACATGCGTTAACTCAACCCTACCCCCCACGGCAATGACGGTGTTGCCCTGACAACATGCGTTAACTCAACCCTACCCCCTACCACAATGACGGTGTTGCCCTGACAACATGCGTTAACTCAACCCTACCCCCCACGGCAATGACGGTGGTGCCCTGACAACATGCGTTAACTCAACTCTACCCCCCACCGCAATGACGGTGTTGCCCTGACAACATGCGTTAACTCAACCCTACCCCCCACCGCAATGACGGTGGTGCCCTGACAACATGCGTTAACTCAACCCTACCCCCCACCGCAATGACGGTGTTGCCCTGACAACATGCGTTAACTCAACCCTACCCCCCACCGCAATGACGGTGGTGCCCTGACAACATGCGTTTACTCAACCCTACCCCCCACCGCAATGACGGTGTTGCCCTGACAACATGCGTTAACTCAACCCTACCCCCCACCGCAATGACGGTGGTGCCCTGACAACATGCGTTAACTCAACCCTACCCCCCACCGCAATGACGGTGTTGCCCTGACAACATGCGTTAACTCAACCCTACCCCCCACCGCAATGACGGTGTTGCCCTGACAACATGCGTTAACTCAACCCTACCCCCCACCGCAATGACGGTGGTGCCCTGACAACATGCGTTAACTCAACCCTACCCCCCACCGCAATGACGGTGTTGCCCTGACAACATGCGTTAACTCAACCCTACCCCCCACCGCAATGACGGTGTTGCCCTGACAACATGCGTTAACTCAACCCTACCCCCCACCGCAATGACGGTGGTGCCCTGACAACATGAGTTAACTCAACCCTACCCCCCACCGCAATGACGGTGGTGCCCTGACAACATGCGTTAACTCAGTCCTACCCCCCACCGCAATGACGGTGGTGCCCTGACAACATGCGTTAACTCAACCCTACCCCCCACCGCAATGACGGTGGTGCCCTGACAACATGCGTTAACTCAACCCTACCCCCCACCGCAATGACGGTGGTGCCCTGACAACATGCGTTAACTCAACCCTACCCCCCCACCGCAATGACGGTGGTGCCCTGACAACATGCGTTAACTCAACCCTACCCCCTACCGCAATGACGGTGGTGCCCTGACAACATGCGTTAACTCAATCCTACCCCCCACCGCAATGACGGTGGTGCCCTGACAACATGCGTTAACTCAATCCTACCCCCCACCGCAATGACGGTGGTGCCCTGACAACATGCGTTAACTCAACCCTACCCCCCACCGCAATGACGGTGGTGCCCTGACAACATGCGTTAACTCAACCCTACCCCCCACCGCAATGACGGTGGTGCCCTGACAACATGCGTTAACTCAGTCCTACCCCCTACCGCAATGACGGTGGTGCCCTGACAACATGCGTTAACTCAACTCTACCCCCCACGGCAATGACGGTGGTGCCCTGACAACATGCGTTAACTCAACCCTACCCCCCACCGCAATGACGGTGGTGCCCTGACAACATGCGTTAACTCAGTCCTACCCCCCACCGCAATGACGGTGGTGCCCTGACAACATGCGTTAACTCAACTCTACCCCCCACGGCAATGACGGTGGTGCCCTGACAACATGCGTTAACTCAGTCCTACCCCCCACCGCAATGACGGTGGTGCCCTGACAACATGCGTTAACTCAACTCTACCCCCCACGGCAATGACGGTGGTGCCCTGACAACATGCGTTAACTCAACCCTACCCCCCACCGCAATGACGGTGGTGCCCTGACAACATGCGTTAACTCAACCCTACCCCCCACCGCAATGACGGTGGTGCCCTGACAACATGCGTTAACTCAACCCTACCCCCCACGGCAATGACGGTGGTGCCCTGACAACATGCGTTAACTCAACCCTACCCCCCACCGCAATGACGGTGGTGCCCTGACAACATGCGTTAACTCAACCCTACCCCCCACCGCAATGACGGTGGTGCCCTGACAACATGCGTTAACTCAACCCTACCCCCCACGGCAATGACGGTGGTGCCCTGACAACATGCGTTAACTCAACCCTACCCCCCACGGCAATGACGGTGGTGCCCTGACAACATGCGTTAACAAGACAGTAGTCCTAGAGTTGCCTACCATAGCACAGGTGAGATACAAGGAGGTTGAAATTCCCGTGTCCCGTGTGACTAGTTCATGATACATCTTGAAAATAACACTTAAAATTTACATTACGGTGATAATGGAGTGTACGTTTCAGTGTACTCTGTTGTAATCTAGACTTGGGCATCTTACGAACTCTAAATAGGCCCCATGCAACCTCTCGGTTTACCTGCCTTGGTGCTATTAATAAACCAGGACGTTGTTCCTGGACAAACCATGTTGAGTCACACTAGGTTCCCTGGCGGGTAACTGCCGACTGACGTTGAGCCTTCCAACCGTACACACAGGGCTGTCACACTAGGTTCCCTGGCGGGTATCTGCCGAGTGACGTTAAGCCTTCCAACCGTACACACAGGGCTGTCACACTAGGTTCCCTGGCGGGTAACTGCCGACTGACGTTGAGCCTTCCAACCGTACACACAGGGCTGTCACACTAGGTTCCCTGGCGGGTAACTGCCGACTGACGTTGAGCCTTCCAACCGTACACACAGGGCTGTAGCAGGGGTGTTCGTTAAACAGACCCACAACATGGAAGTTGCTCCTCAAACGCATTATGAAGAAATCCATTTTATTGACAAGAAAGGCCCACAGAAATGCCGACCCTGGTGTTCATCTTCCATGTGTTTTGTTGTGCTTATTTTATCGATGTTTTTAAATGGAGGATTGGGTGCATTTATTGTCTACAAGATGACACACAAAGAGCATGCTGCGCCGTTTGCTCCAGGCGAGGTTAAGCGACCGGATATTGCTGACTCTGTCTGTGTGTCATGTGACTCTCTAAACGTCCCTGACCTAGCAAGATCACCATTGGAGAATCAGGTCAAGGTCGTTATACTGGGTCAAGGTTCATTTTGCTGTTTGGAGAATACTGAGAGTCTCGGGATGTATATGAATATTGTAAGTGTTTATTTAGTGTTCTAATAATCATATGCAGGGAAAAAATAATTCTGCACCACAGGTCGCTAAACGCATAGTCTTCTAGGTCAAGGACATTCAAAATCATTGCATGTAAATGTTTGTTTGAATGACGGTTTTGCTGTTATAATTTATAAAAGGTATTGTTAGCAAAATAATGATTGCACATATTTCTTTTGTGTTTAGATAGTCGGAGAATATTACCATGACCTCAACGGTGACAACAGAGGTGGTGACCTTCCCATCAACAATGACAGACCGGCGGCGCATCTGTATCTTGATACAAACAGCGTCACAGGTCTGTATGCTTCGTTTGATCCAATGTTTCACTCACTCACACACTGCTTGATGAATTAAACATTAAAGACCACGTGATAATGAGTGACCTTTACAGCAACCATGACAGACCGGCGGCGCATCTGTATCTTGATACAAACAGCGTCACAGGTCTGTATGCTTCGTTAAGTCCAATGTTTCACTCACTCACTCACTGCTTGAAGAATTATACAATTAAGACCACGTGATAATGAGTGACCTTTACAGCAACCATGACAGACCGGCGGCGCATCTGTATCTTGATACAAACAGCGTCACAGGTCTGTATGCTTCGTTAAGTCCAATGTTTCACTCACTCACACACTGCTTGAAGAATTATACATTAAAGACCACGTGATAATGAGTGACGTTGCAACTGTACAAAGCCTTAACCTCCACTCACTCACTCACTCACTCACTCACTCACTCACTCACAAACAAATGCTTTGAGGTAGCATATATAGAGACTACTATAATGTCATGAATTTAGTAATGGTATATTTCAAGGTATACACAGAGAAAAATAATATGATCACTATTAACAGTGAACACGATTTGGTCATTTGTAGAAAAGGGACCTCTTTTACGGTACATCAACAAGCCTACTCTTCAGAACCCCAATGGCGTTCCGTTTGGGTTCACGGCAACTATCTTCTGCACAACAACACACTCACTACATACTTGTGAATAAGCCGCAGATAAGATTTGATCAAACTTCTTGCTTTGCACACATTAATATTTCAAACAAAGAGTGCCGTACACAAACAGGGAGTCCGGTGTATGTTTGCTGACATGCTATATAATAAACATCTCCTACAGTTGTTAAGTTAGTGGACCCTTTTAACCGCTACCAGGAAGTCACACACGCCATTGCGCATAGGTGATTTCTCAGAACTGACACGAGATCTGAATATCGTTACAAGGAAGTTGAACACTTCTTATTCAAAAAATGTGAGTGGGGACTGTATTCAGGGTAAAGTTTACTCCTTCTTACGCTAGGTATGGTCTGAAAGCTTCAGTTATTAAGTACAGTACACAATATCAACTGAATCAGAATAATGTTTTCACTGTCGCCTGATCCGGGTGGCTGTGTCATCTGAGTCTCCTCACATCTGTGTGTGACAGGATCTCACTCACTCACTCATTGGCCCGATCAACCACTCACCCCAAAAACGCCGCATTATTCACTCACTCACTCACCTACCAACCCATCCACTCATTCACTTACTGACCCAACTGACCCACCCAGTCACTCACCCACCCAGTCACTCAACGACCCACCCACTGACTCACCCACCCAGTAACCAACCCACTCTCTCCCCCACTCACCGACCCACCCACCAAATCATTCATACAAAACCCAAACATCCACCCACCCACTGATTCACCTACTCTCCTACTCTCTCCCCCACTCACACACCTACCCACTCACTCATTCATCCCAAGCCCAAACACCCACTTACCGACCCACCCACCAACTCACTCATTCACACAAAACTCAAACATCCACCGACCCCCTCACTTACTGACCCAACTGACCCCACCCATTCACTCAACCACCCACTCACTCACCGACCCACCCACCAACTCACTCATTCCTACAAAATCCAAACATCCACCCACCCACTGACTCACTCACCCAGTCACCCACCCACTCTCTCCCCCACTCACCGACCCACCCACCAACTCACTCATTCCTACAAAACCCAAACATCTACCCACCCACTGACTCACCCACCCAGTCACCCACCCACTCTCTCCCCCACTCACCGACCCTACCACCAACTCACTCATTCCTACAAAATCCAAACAACCACCCACCCACTGACTCACCCACCCACTCTCTCCCCCACTCACCGACCCACCCACCAACTCACTCATTCCTACAAAATCCAAACAACCACCCACCCACTGACTCACTCACCCAGTCACCCACCCACTCTCTCCCCCACTCACCGACCCTACCACCACTCACTCATTCCTACAAAATCCAAACAACCACCCACCCACTGACTCACCCACTGACTCACCCACCCACTCTCTCCCCCACTCACCGACCCTACCACCAACTCACTCATTCCTACAAAATCCAAACAACCACCCACCCACTGACTCACTCACCCAGTCACCCACCCACTCTCTCCCCCACTCACCGACCCACCCACCAACTCACTCATTCCTACAAAACCCAAACATCCACCCACCCACTGACTCACTCACCCAGTCACCCACCCACTCTCTCCCCCACTCACCGACCCACCCACCAACTCACTCATTCCTACAAAATCCAAACAACCACCCACTCACTGACACACCCACCCAGTCACCCACCCACTCTCTCACCCACTCTCTCCCCCACTCACCGACCCACCCACCCACTCATTCCTACAAAACCCAAACATCCACCCACCCACTGACTCACCCACCCAGTCACCCACCCACTCTCTCCCCCACTCACCGACCCTCCCACCAACTCACTCATTCCTACAAAACCCAAATATCCACCCACTCAACCACTCTCTTCCCCACTCACACACCTACCAACTCACTCATTCATCCCAAACCCAAACATCCACCTTACCCACCCACTCACCCACCCGCTTACCCACTCACTCACTCACTTACTGACTCAACTAACCCAGCCACTCACTCCCTCAATCACTCACTCCCATTTCTCTGTGTGCCAGAATCTAATGCACTCACTCACTCACTCACTCACTCACCACGCTGATTAAAAGTCTACAAATTATGACTTTATTTCTCTTCCCATCAGATCAACATCTACAGTGGGACTCCTCCCTTGGGTGTGGGACGGCACACGTGACTGGGAATGTTACCTATAGCAACGGACGTCTACATGTGCCACGTGACGGCGTGTACTACATCTACTCCTTCCTTACAATACGTAAGACATAGACACAGACAGCCACCTTCTCCTCATGGGCAAGACGACATTGAAGGAAAGACATGGGCAGTTCACCAACAGTTTCTTGGCGGCAAATTTGAAATTGAAAAAGAATGATGAACTATTTGTCAGCTTGTCAAACACGTCCTTGGTATACACATTTCCACCTGCTAATTATTTTGGTGTCCACATGTTGTAATATCAGTTTAGAAATGTGACCAATAACAAGATATAACCGTCACATCAATATGAATAACTATAATTCAGGCTTCGTATCATGTTAACAGGGGTGGTCGGGTAGCCTCGTGGATAAAGCGTTCGCTCGTCACGCCGAGGACCCGGGTTCGATTCCCGACATGGGTACAATGCGTGAAGCCCATTCTGATGTCACCCGCCGATATATTGCTGGAATATTGCTGAAGGTAGCGTAAACCATACGCACTCACTCATTTCAACTCTGAAGGAAGTCATCGAGATCTACTCAACGGCTAGAAGATTGTAAATGACACGTGACCAATATATGAAGATTGGAATTCCCTGTCTACACCAGTACCAGTATCATACTACCGCTTATTGCTCATGTTAAGCTACTAAAGGCACGTTTTGAAATGAAGCAGCGCTTGGAATGAGCTTCAGTGGCTACCTTTAAAGTCGCAGTAGTGGTTAATAGTCTAAGTTCCTGCAACTCACTCTCTAGATTTACCTCCCTTAGCTGCCTAGGGACCTGCTGATCTCGATTATAATCCTCGACATTCCTGTGTCACTCGTTGGTATTCCTGTCGAGTGAAGCTTTGCAGAAATACTCTTGAAAGCGTCTCAATCATTCTGGTGATTATCTTCGTTTGGTGAATGACGGACCATATCTACATTCCACTATGATACAAAAGTCATACTTTGTTATTTCAGTATTGTAGTATTACATCTGATAAAAGAACCACAGGACCATATCTACATTCTCCGATAATACAAAAGTCAGACTTTGTTATTTCAGTATTGTAGTATTTCATCTGATTGTAGAAACACATAATTAAGTCTCCAAAGCGACCTATCATTATGGCACACGTTTAGTTGACGGGGATTATAACTGCGACCGACTCTCTTGCTCAGCTTCAATGCTTGCTTTAACCATTTTTGAGTTACTCGCTTTGTACAGTCAGTTCATTGTTATTGGGAATGTATTGTTGTGATGTGCAATCCCAACTGGGAATAAAGAGTATAAATTCCAACGACAATTGTCTAGTTTATGTACAGGCCGCCGTCGCATGACCGAGTGCTTTTGTTGCGTCAGGCAAGAAACAGACACATACTTTTTATGCCAAGTATGTGCTACCTTCAAGACAGGACATGCTTAACCATTTCGCCAACACCAAGTGATTTTCATCGATCCATACACATAATATCCATCAGTGGTTTGCCTGTGACACCCACTGGTATCGGTTTCGGCGGGGGTCTGGTTATTCTCTGACGTTGGTGGTGTATATATGTTTGAGATGTGAGTATTTAGTTGCAGTCATTGTTGTGAAGAATTTGGTATTTGGTCTTCTTCAAGAGATGTCTGAACTTTGACATCTGTGTCAAACGAATGTCGTAAATTAATTAGAACATATAAGCTACACACCGTTTCAGTATAAAACAAGAATCCCTACTTACAAACTGTTCAGAATATTAAGGTTGTTCCAAGAAAAAGCCATACAGGATGGGGAGGGGGTGTTATGTTGCATTTTGTATAAAATCAAATGAATTCCCATAAAATGGCACATATGTCTATGCATAATGAATACTAAATTAAGCAATCATCTGTTACCGCTAAAGTAATTTCAAGTGTCTAATACAATTGAAATAACTATTGTATCAAACTGTCGTCCAGGACCCAGGTTTATTCGGGAGGTGTCGGTATAATTCGTAACTCATTCGTGACTTTAAATGCATTGTCATCTTATGATATAGTTTACTAAATTTGTTAATAAACTTATTCCCGAATATATAATGTAAGCATATTTTCAGAAGTTGCTGTGTTTTTATTATTATCATCTTTATACTTATGATTCTGATTGGAACATATCCGATCCCGTTGATTCACATCATAGTGTAAACGGCTAAGACATGCTCTCCTCGCACACGGTGACAAGGCTGAAATACTAGTCAATGCGGTGTTAAGCCCAACTCACTCACTCACTCACTCACTCAAACGGTTTGAGGTAGCATCTATAGACACTTATAGCGTCCAACCCGACGTTCAAAACGACATCCAGCCCAAATCAATCATTTTATTGTTAACAACACACGTCATCATCACACACGTTCATGATATGTGTGATATATGACACAGTTAAACTGAAGAGCTAAAATCCCACTTTGATATAGAACGATAATTACCAAAGGCGCTATCACAAATGCTGAATAACGTATTCACTACAAGTGATCTATATCCGCCTTGCTGAATGCCACTGTAATTCGATGGCCAGGTCATTGATCCCACAACAATCACTAGTTCTCTGGTACAGTGTTGTTTGTTTTTAAATACATCTCTTTACATCAAGTCACAATATCCTTCCAATCTAGTAGTGCCCGTTCACACAATTAGCCGTATCGCTAAATGTACATGTCGGGAACGAGTGAACTTCGGATTCCATTATTTGTCCAGTTTATAGGCGTTATCCCATTTCTGGTCCAGGGGAGATGAGTAATAATATAGTCAAAAATCTCTTAAAGTTCGAAATACTGATCCATAGCATTCATATTCTGATCACAAGTTAGAAATTGGATTCACTATCAGCAGCCAAAAAAAAACTTAAGTCAGAAGGAAAGGGTGCATAGTCAGAAAGAAATGCGGACATTTGTGACTTGTTGTGTAAGCATAGAGTTCTAGATAATTTTTGACATTAAACAATATATCACGTGACTAACCACGCGTCCGGGTAGTCCTGTGGGTACCCGGGTCCTACTCAGTACCCACCCGACCCGGGTACACGAATCACCCGCCCCAGCCTTAATAAATTCACACATTGTCACACAAAGAAATACTAATTTTACAAAAAGACATATCACTATGGTTCATATACATCAAATTACTTTAATCTTTTTACCTCTTGTAAAGAGGTGGTTGTTGACATCAGTGTGCAAGCACAATCATCACAACACATCCAGCAAGTCAGTCATCCTGTATAACAGAGGCATTTTAATCCTCCCTGTGTGAACCAAACCGTCATTATTCGTCATCCACAGTGATGTGGACACCCCTTGACTGGCATCAACTTCTGTTGATTTACACCCGCGATTGACTTCTGCGTAGGTTTTATTCAGCACATCCATCAGAATGAGAATTATTGCTTCCTCAACCCCAACATACATCCGGTAATCTATGGCAGCTCTGAAGTGTGAAAAAACATATGTTTATGTAAAAACAATTGACTAAGCACCGTAGCTCACAAACACATCAACACATGTAGTCAACAGTTTGAAACATCAACAAAGCCAGTCATCTAACATTATGAGCTGTAAGCATTGTCATTCTGCTAAATAGAACTATTTAAAGAAAACGCAATGCAATAACCAGAAATTACAGCATCACTGAAATATTTGGTTAACACATCTGACATCATTGGAACAAGTATGTGATGTTTCAGTGTCATTGTTTATGTGGTTTCTAAGGAGAAGAGAGCGTGAGTGAGTGAGCATGGTTTTAACAATGTCTTAGCAATATCACGGCGGGGGACATCAGAAAGGGGCTTCAACATATTGTACCCATGTCGGGAATCGAACCCGGGTCTTTGGCGTGACGAGCGAATGCTTAACCACTAGGCTGCCCTACCACCCCCTAAGGAGATGATGTTTACTCAGAAGACAGATAACCAGTCAATGACATTAACTGGGTACAATGACATACAGTCTGCCAGGCAAACATATTGGACCACCTCCTACTGACTTTTGTTATTTGAGCATGACAGTCACTGAAACTGTGTACCCCATGAGCACCATTCCATTCTTTTACCTGTCAGAGCTAATGTACAGTTAGGTGTTGGTTTCCATTTGTTCTTTGGTAATCACCTATCAGCGCTAATTAACTGTTGGCTTCCCTTGTTAAGTTCCCGCCTTTGTTATCTTATTACTTTCATTGTTCTCACAGGTATATATATATATGTTACCTGCCTCACAGCATTCATCGACTGCGAAATAGCCAACAGCTGAAGCGGTCGTAAAATCACTAAAATCTGTCTCTCACATTCACAGCGCCTCCCGCACGGACATTTTCAGTGGCAAGGCACACGGCTAACTAGCTAAGTCTCATCACCTATCTACCTCTCCCCTCTAAACTATAATTTAACTTTATTTATATTATCTTTTGTCCCCCTTGTTTCAAGCTTAACTTTGATTGTTCTTATTTTGTATTGCCTTGTACTATTTCATTACCCTCAAACAAACTATGACATCAACTCGCACACACCCGACTAAATTCAATCAGACTCACTATTCACTACACCCATCCACTCAAATAATACACATTTCCCAGGTCTCACGCCCACATACAACACTAACCCCATCCCTTTAGACTTTGGGCTAGACCTAGATGAATCAATCTTCCACCCATCCAACAGCAACATCACATCCCCCCCCCCACCCCCCCACCCCCCACCCCCCACCCCCCACCCCAAACAACCCAACCCAAACCAACAACACATAGATACCAAAGTAACCATACAGCCTTCTCCTTCCAAACCACCCAAAACAGCCCCAAACACCCCTCGTACTCCAAACCTACAAAACGCCCAAACTACTGCCCTACACACATCAACCAAACAAACAAAAAATCATGCTCTCAACAAACCCCACCCACCAAACAAAACCACATCCTCCTTGCATTCATCCACCCCACTCAATGACAGCTTTTCAAACAACAAGTTCGCCCTCTGTCTGCAAAAAAATGAAATAACACACAAATTCATCAATAGATGCGGCAGAGGGTTTAAAGTTACATTCCCAACACAAGACACACTCAACCAAGCACACAGACATCCAATCATCGACGGTTTAAACATCACATGGCAAACACCCAAATGGTTAACTCAAATTCAAGGGGTCATTTACATAGACTACATAGACACACGGGACGATATAACCGAATACATCCACACAGCAAACAGACTCTCAACACAACCCCAAATTACAGACTACAAAAACATAAATACCAGAACCCCAACACCTGGCAGGACAACAACACAGACAGTATTTTTAACTTTCAAGTCCATCACATTACCCACACACATAGTTTTTGCTGTCCTCACTTACAAAGTAAACCCTCTCAGAAAAAACCCACAACAATGCAACATCTGCCACTCGTATAACCACAACACTGCCACTTGCACACAACCGCCCATGTGCCACAAATGCGGCTTAACGAGGCCATTGAGTGCACATGCACCACCACCACCCCCCCCCCCCCCCCCCCCCCCTCCACCCCCCCTACTGCATCCACTGCAACATTGAAGGACACACTGCAACAAAACACCTGTCCTCTCAAACAGAAACACATTCTCCGCCTTAACAAGCACATAAAACAAGAGCATCACAGAATCATCACAACATACAATAGCCTCCCAGAATATGAGGACACCTCAGATACATCATCCTGCCTACTACCTGCCCCCCTCCCCCCTTTCCCCCAACCAAATGCAAACAACTTTTCTCCACCCCCTTCCTCCTGCAACACCACACAGCCCAACCTACCAGGTACATACCCCCATCCCCCCCTACACCCATACCAGACCTCGACAGACCCTGCCCCCTCCATGCCCGCCGTACCCCCACCCAGCCGGCCCAACGCACAAAACAGAAAGGCCCCTGTTACCACCACCCCTCACTTGCCCTCCCCCCCCCCCCCCCCCCCATCCCCCATCCAACCACCACCCCAGCCGCCATCTCCCTACCATAGCAGGTCCCCCCACCCTCTCATACCACACAACCAGCCGCCATCTCCCTACCACAGCAATTCCCCCACCCCCCATCCAACCACCACCCCAGCCGCCATCTCCCTACCATAGCAGGTCCCCCCACCCTCTCATACCACACAACCAGCCGCCATCTCCCTACCACAGCAATTCCCTCACCCCCCATCCAACCACCACCCCAGCTGCCATCTCCCTACCATAGCAGGTCCCCCCACCCTCTCATACCGCACAACCAGCCGCCATCTCCCTACCACAGCAGTTCCCCCACCCTCTCATACCACACAACCTGTACAGTTCAAATCAGCAATTCCCATCCCATCTACCCAAACACACAGAAAAACACCACACCCTACATTTAAAACAAACTCTAGCAGGAAACAACTCATCACACAAAAAATCCAATCACTCCGAACAGCCCCTTCACAATCAGTCACTCCCAAAAAACTGCATTCTAACACAAACAAGCTCATCGAATTTCTGTCAGCTGCAAAACTTATTAAAGAACCCACACCCAGGAAAATCCACACCCTTGCCCAGGTGTCCACTCTATACCACAAATCTTTTCCAAACTTTCCGACAGCCCTAAAAGCACAAAGATAAATCTCACCCACTGCCCATATCTCTTCCAAATTAAGTCCCAACCACCATGCTACCTTCACTAAAATTCCCACTTCTTTATCTCTTCTGATCATGGTGTTCTTACAGTGGAACGGCAATGGACTCACCTCAGAGGGGCATGAACTCACCTCAAAGGGGCATGAACTCACCTCAAAGGGGCATGAACTTAAGGCCCTCATTGCCCGTAACAAAATTAACCCACTTATAATAGCAGTACAAGAAACCAAAATCTCACCAAAAAAGCCTTCAAATTGCCAGGTTACCATTTCCTTCATCAAGATAGACCCCGACCATGAAATATTCCAGGACCACCACCTTGAGGCCTGGGACTATTCTATAAATCAGAATTAAATTGCGAAGAAATTATCATACCTATGCCTAACTTAGACGTCCTGGCAATAAAAACAACAACAAATATAACGACAATAACCATTATTAACAGCTACCATACTACAACTAAGCCATTTACACGAGAAGATCTCGAAAGACTATCCAAATTCATATACCCAAACAGCCTATTTTTAGGTGATTTCAACGCTCACCACCCACTTTGGGGCACCAAAAATTATACAGATAAGCACGGCAAACATATTATGGACAGGATTGACGCCAATAACCTCATTTGTCTAAATGTCTAACAACCAACCCACTAGATTCCCTACCAGCCATCTCCAAACCCCAACAGAAGTCGACCTATCTATTTCTACCCCCAATTTATTTCAAAACTCAGCTGGGAAACCCATTCAGATACCTGGGGTAGCGACCACTACCCAATCAAAATTTCTTTATCAATAGCACAATCAATTCCAAATTCTCCCTCACCAAACTCATAGCACTTAAACATGTTAAATGCATTCCCACAACAAAAATATAACTAACACATACACCTGTCCCACGGTGGAGCTCGGAAATTATCAAATCTAGAAAACTCAGAAAAAAGCACTCAATAAAGCAAAACATGATATTACCAAACTCCATGTGGCAAAAAACCCTAAGAAATTCAACTGAAGAACTAATAAGGGCCGCCAAAAAGAAACACTTGAAAACCGTTTCTAGCAATTTGAAAATTGGCAAACAAAATACTAAAATATTATGGAAAAAAATTAAAGCTATAAAAGGAAATGCTAGAACCTTCACAACGCCCAATATCCCGAACCTAAATACAGATAAAGAAGAGGCTAACGCCATGGCTGCCCACTTCTCGGCTGCAAGTAGCTCCACCAACCACACAAAACAACTACAAAACACAATAAAAACACTACCTAAATACAAAAATAGGCAACCCATAGTAAAGCATCCTATCCCCAACATTATTTAATCTTATGATTGATGACATTTTCCCCAGATTACCTACAAACATAACAACAGCCAAATTCGATGACGACATTTCCTTCCTTATGTCATCAACATCACTGAAAGAAATCGAAAAAAGAATTAAACCCAACCTCTCTGACCTCGAATACTGGGCTTACTATATACCCTTACTAGGCTGGCCTGAGGGATGTTTCCTTCATTATGACAACCATTTGTTTATCTTGTTTTAAATAAAGAAGTTTCATTAATGTCAAGGGCACCACCAATAGAACCCCGCGACTCTCTAGCTCACTTAACGTAAGAAGAATGAATGAAAATAAATTCTAGGGAAAAGAGGTTGAGAGCAATTTAACATCGGATGCAAAATATGTGTGTACTTTTCAGAGACAATAATAACTAGTACCATTCAGGCTAACTTTTGCTTCATAAGCCTTGAAGCTTCGTCCCATAAGCCAAAAATTCAGTAACACCAGAAAAAGTGGGGTATGTGTAATTCCTTACTGAATCAAAATTGAAATTCCTCAAATCAAACGTACTGCTGTTATTGAAAAAACATTCTTACTCCATATCAATGTTCATAATGATTTCAAATTTAAACATGTTTAATCCATTGAGGTGTAATAATCTGAACAAACATGCATGCCAAATTTCAGCTGGTCCACTGATTTCTGAGAAAAACATGATTCCAAACAAATAGGACATGACTTCAGCCCAATTAGGCTTTCACATTTTATTCACTATATCAAATTCCTACCCTAAGAAAATTGAAAGTATGCATTATTGTTTCCTTACCTGCACATATTGCACATCCTTTTCTCGCAGATGTTTATGGCAGATTATGTCAATGTCATGTTGTTGAAGCTGTTGAGCCAATGCAATAAACATGCAGTTACCAGCCCCTTCATTGTCCACAATCTCAAGGTCATAGAATGAGGCCTCCATCTCCAGTTCTTTCATAGTTGGAGTCTTCTTGTGTCCTGCATAGACACATTATAATAGATAACACAAATTGACCTGTAATATATCTCTCAGTATCATTTTGTTATGGGAACAACTCTAATGTTCTGCAATACATGTGCTTTATCAGCTGAGACAATGAACCATTTCAGATGTGCATGATATACAGGAAGACATATGAGTAACTGACACAACATCATATGGAGCATTTGTGTACTCCTCTTCCAACAGATATAATAATTCATCTAGGATTTATCAGTTTTGTTGATCGTACCCTACTGTATTCAGATATTACCTTTTGTTTCTGTATTGTCTCTCCTCTTGTTTTGAGCCTGTTGTTCTCCCTTTCCTTAAAAGTACAAACATAGATCACCAAGTGCAATCATATACCTTCAGCATAAAGTAATGCTTTACATTCATTTTATTTTGGAAACATTTATTCCGTTGAAGTGTTCATTGAGTGTAAATGTACTCTGAAAGGTGGACAATTCGTACAAGTATAGATTACCCTTCTTATTGTGCATGCATGCATGCATGCATGCATGTATTAATGCATATGCCTAATGTTTTGGAGACTTACCATTCCAGAAAATTCCTATGAGGTGTCTCAAATTGTAATATACTTTTCACCCTGTGTTTTCCCCATCTGAGTGGATTTTCTACCCTCTTCTCTTGCATATGTTAGAAAAATATATGAAAAAAATACCAACATATCACCAATGTTCAGGGTATGTAACAGAGCGACCAATTCAACTGGTAAAGGAACTGAACTGAAAATAAACAAATGTTTCATAAACCATAGTCTGCAGTTTGATTCCAGACCCTTGATTAGTTGTGTATTGTATACCACTGAACCTCCTGTGTCAATGTTAGCTTTAGTTCCAAGAAGACAAACTAATGAATGTCCTTTATAAGTAATGCATAACATCACAGGAAGTATCATATACCTCATTAATCCTAAAGATTTGAGTACAACTGACATAACAATTAATGACTACACCAAATTATTTCAATACCTTGCAAAGTGGTGAATTAGTAATGGCATGTAATTACATTTGCTGTGATCTAGATAATACTTTCAAAATTCAACAACAGCAAAAACATAAACTTCTGTATGTTCCTGATTTTAAGTATGATGCTATACCTTTTCATTTAATTGACACTGCAGTATACCGGTGAGCAACATCCAACACTGTCTGGGTACCATGTCATACAAAAACCAAGTTCCCCAACCACCTGATCAATTTAGTCACCTCAAGCATGTATTGCTGGAGACCTATTTCAACCTGCAGTAGCAACATGAGTTGTATCATCTTTGATAACTGGTTTGCTTACTTGTCCGAATTGGTATTTTCTAAGAAATGCAAAATATAAAAAGTCTACCAAAAAACTGAATAGCCACAGGGACCAGTTCACAGCCTGCCTGATGTGTATACAAAGTTTCATTAGAAAGTTGCAATGGTTTATGAATTGTGCTCTGGAAACGAACCCCACCCTCATTTGAACCAACGTGTTGCCACGAAAATGCAAAAGAAATATTATAAACATTCCAGCATGGGAAAAGGCGCCAATTGTGAGGGTGCCTGATGTTCGTACAAACTTTTATGAGGAAATATTGAACAGTGATAAGTTATGCTCTGGATACAAAATGTGACAGATGGACACACTGATCTCGTTTCTATATCCACATGTGCACTTAGTTTGGGTGGGGGGAAATTATCAAAACACCAAATACATTACAAATACCATGTCTTTGCAGTCCATCAAGATAGATGATTCTGTCATCTGATCACTTCCACTTCACATGTAGTTTTACCTCATATTCTAAACATATCATTACTTCTAATATCTTTCAATTGAAATAGTACAATGTGCATGCCTCTACTTGTCACATCTGTCATTATTGCACAAGTTTACAGGACCCGATGAAAGTTATTATCCCCCGCCCCTACAAAAAAATAATTATATTTTGTATAAAGTGTTGAAATTTGGACTTAGTCCCTGAACTGAATGGAATCAGTGGGGTTTACCAGAGCAGAACTCAAAAACTACTCAAGATATCTTCATGAATCTTGGTACACACATTCACCATATCGTGTAGATGTGCCTTTTGCTATTTATGATGATTCTGATTATCTATAAATAAAATAATTTTTTTTTATAAATTTTGACATAGTCCCCGAGCTGAATGAAAGCAGCGGGTTTCATTTCTGGAAAGAACTGGAAAATTACTTTAGAGATATCTTTCAGAAACTTGGTAAGCACATTCACCATATAGTGCAGATAGGCCTTTTTCTATTCATTCCTCCAAAAATTGTTTTTATATAAATTTTATAAATTTAGTCTTGAATTGAATGGAAGCAATTTTAACAGTTACCTGAGTACTGCTATGTACTTCTCCATGAAACTTTGTACAATATCAGTCTATGGGTGTTATAGAGTCTTTGTTCTTTAAAAACTTCAAAATATGATTTATTTCTTATTCTAATTAAATGACACCCCAGTAGACACTGCAACAAATCCATAAAAGGATTGATAGAATATGTATCAGAAATTCACCAGGTTCTGAGGGGTCAGCATGCTTACAACTTTTGTACCTTATCTGTACCGTGTACCTTACTCTGGTAACTACATGGACCTCTAAAGGGCTGCAACAGTACCTGCATGAAAACAATGCCTACAATAAAATTCATGATATCTAAATGAGTTAATTGTGCAGTGTTCAAGTATGCAAATATTCCTTGCCTTCACATATTTGAAGATGATTATAACCTGTGTTTATCATTACAGTCTTACTAAAGCAGATATTTGTACAAAGTTTATGGAGATGTTATATTATCCATTGTATTCAACCTCTTCCACAAGGAGATGAGACTAACCGATAATTTACGTCACATTTGATTGCACATATTGTATTTCAGACTAGACAATGGGCGGGGGATAGAGAGATGTTATATTATCCCTTGTATTCAACCTCTTCCACAAGGAGGTGAGACTAACCGATAATTTTCATCACATTTGATTGCACATATTGTATTTAAGACTAGACAATGGGCGGGGGATAGAGAGATGTTATATTAGCCCTTGTATTCAACCTCTTCCACAAGGAGGTGAGACTAACCGATAATTTTCATCACATTTGATTGCACATATTGTATTTAAGACTAGACAATGGGCGGGGGATATAGAGATGTTATATTAGCCCTTGTATTCAACCTCTTCCACAAGGAGGTGAGACTAACCGATAATTTTCATCACATTTGATTGCACATATTGTATTTAAGACTAGACAATGGGCGGGGGATAGAGAGATGTTATATTAGCCCTTGTATTCAACCTCTTCCACAAGGAGGTGAGACAAACCGATAATTTTCATCACATTTGATTGCACATATCATTGTATTTCAGACTAGACAATGGGCGGGGGATATAGAGATGTTATATTAGCCCTTGTATTCAACCTCTTCCACAAGGAGGTGAGACAAACGGATAATTTTCATAATTTACGTCACATTTGATTGCACATATTGTATTTCAGACTAGACAATGGGCGGGGGATATAGAGATGTTATATTATCCCTTGTATTCAACCTCTTCCACAAGGAGGTGAGACTAACCGATAATTTTCATCACATTTGATTGCACATATTGTATTTAAGACTAGACAATGGGCGGGGGATATAGAGATGTTATATTAGCCCTTGTATTCAACCTCTTCCACAAGGAGGTGAGACTAACCGATAATTTTCATCACATTTGATTGCACATATTGTATTTAAGACTAGACAATGGGCGGGGGATAGAGAGATGTTATATTAGCCCTTGTATTCAACCTCTTCCACAAGGAGGTGAGACAAACCGATAATTTTCATCACATTTGATTGCACATATCATTGTATTTAAGACTAGACAATGGGCGGGGGATATAGAGATGTTATATTAGCCCTTGTATTCAACCTCTTCCACAAGGAGGTGAGACAAACCGATAATTTTCATCACATTTGATTGCACATATTGTATTTAAGACTAGACAATGGGCGGGGGATATAGAGATGTTATATTAGCCCTTGTATTCAACCTCTTCCACAAGGAGGTGAGACAAACTGACAATTTTCATCACATTTGATTGCACATATTGTATTTAAGACTAGACAATGGGCGGGGGATATAGAGATGTTATATTAGCCCTTGTATTCAACCTCTTCCACAAGGAGGTGAGACAAACTGACAATTTACGTCACATTTGATTGCACATATTGTATTTAAGACTAGACAATGGGCGGGGGATATAGAGATGTTATATTAGCCCTTGTATTCAACCTCTTCCACAAGGAGGTGAGACAAACCGATAATTTTCATCACATTTGATTGCACATATCATTGTATTTAAGACTAGACAATGGGCGGGGGATAGAGAGATGTTATATTAGCCCTTGTATTCAACCTCTTCCACAAGGAGGTGAGACTAACCGATAATTTTCATCACATTTGATTGCACATATTGTATTTAAGACTAGACAATGGGCGGGGGATAGAGAGATGTTATATTAGCCCTTGTATTCAACCTCTTCCACAAGGAGGTGAGACTAACCGATAATTTTCATCACATTTGATTGCACATATCATTGTATTTAAGACTAGACAATGGGCGGGGGATATAGAGATGTTATATTAGCCCTTGTATTCAACCTCTTCCACAAGGAGGTGAGACAAACGGATAATTTTCATCACATTTGATTGCACATATTGTATTTAAGACTAGACAATGGGCGGGGGATATAGAGATGTTATATTAGCCCTTGTATTCAACCTCTTCCACAAGGAGGTGAGACAAACTGACAATTTACGTCACATTTGATTGCACATATTGTATTTAAGACTAGACAATGGGCGGGGGATATAGAGATGTTATATTAGCCCTTGTATTCAACCTCTTCCACAAGGAGGTGAGACAAACGGATAATATACGTCACATTTGATTGCACATATCATTGTATTTAAGACTAGACAATGGGCGGGGGATATAGAGATGTTATATTAGCCCTTGTATTCAACCTCTTCCACAAGGAGGTGAGACAAACTGACAATTTACGTCACATTTGATTGCACATATTGTATTTAAGACTAGACAATGGGCGGGGGATATAGAGATGTTATATTAGCCCTTGTATTCAACCTCTTCCACAAGGAGGTGAGACAAACGGATAATTTTCATCACATTTGATTGCACATATCATTGTATTTAAGACTAGACAATGGGCGGGGGATATAGAGATGTTATATTAGCCCTTGTATTCAACCTCTTCCACAAGGAGGTGAGACAAACTGACAATTTACGTCACATTTGATTGCACATATTGTATTTAAGACTAGACAATGGGCGGGGGATATAGAGATGTTATATTAGCCCTTGTATTCAACCTCTTCCACAAGGAGGTGAGACAAACGGATAATTTACGTCACATTTGATTGCGCATATTGTATTTAAGACTAGACAATGGGCGGGGGATAGAGAGATGTTATATTAGCCCTTGTATTCAACCTCTTCCACAAGGAGGTGAGACAAACTGACAATTTACGTCACATTTGATTGCACATATTGTATTTAAGACTAGACAATGGGCGGGGGATATAGAGATGTTATATTATCCCTTGTATTCAACCTCTTCCACAAGGAGGTGAGACAAACGGATAATTTACGTCACATTTGATTGCACATATTGTATTTCAGACTAGACAATGGGCGGGGATATAGAGATGTTATATTAGCCCTTGTATTCAACCTCTTCCACAAGGAGGTGAGACAAACCGATAATTTTCATCACATTTGATTGCACATATCATTGTATTTAAGACTAGACAATGGGCGGGGGATATAGAGATGTTATATTAGCCCTTGTATTCAACCTCTTCCACAAGGAGGTGAGACAAACCGATAATTTTCATCACATTTGATTGCACATATTGTATTTAAGACTAGACAATGGGCGGGGGATATAGAGATGTTATATTAGCCCTTGTATTCAACCTCTTCCACAAGGAGGTGAGACAAACCGATAATTTTCATCACATTTGATTGCACATATTGTATTTCAGACTAGACAATGGGTGGGGGATATAGAGATGTTATATTATCCCTTGTATTCAACCTCTTCCACAAGGAGGTAGGACAAACCGATAATTTTCATCACATTTGATTGCACATATTGTATTTAAGACTAGACAATGGGCGGGGGATATAGAGATGTTATATTAGCCCTTGTATTCAACCTCTTCCACAAGGAGGTGAGACAAACGGACAATTTACGTCACATTTGATTGCACATATCATTGTATTTCAGACTAGACAATGGGCGGGGGATATAGATGAGTTCACCCTCTTGTTATGCGTAATGACATAAATCCTCCATACCTCATCACTCCCTGCAGATAGTTCGCACGGCCCATCTTCTTCAGAGCAAGAGCTTGCATCAACTGTATTCCCAGCTCTCAACAAATTCTTGAAGTGTACTGGAGGGCAGCCCAGCATGGCCTTGTATGGTGAACAACCTGTTAACATGGGTATTTATTTTTAAATACAAGCATGTGTTTCTCATGTCTCCTTCAAAATTAAATGTCACAACTGCACTGTGGCAATCTTGATATTTCCAGAGTTCTATAAATTTGCAGAAACCTGATTGCAACGATATTTTGGGCAATATCTGGTCAACTATGAGCCATTATCGTTTCACTGTGTCATGATGGTTATTTGTTGGTCATTGCTTAAAAAAACATTCAATGTCGTACATCTACATTTACGATGCTAACAGTCTGAAAAGTATATGCTTACATTGTGTGCTTCACACTGTGTGACATATGCCCACATTAAATTAAAGCTATATATTCAAACGTTACCAAGAGCAGAATGAATTCTTTCTTTGTGCATCCTAGCATATGCTGGCAACATTTCCACCCCGGTAAAGCTTTCTCCTTCACCATGTTTCCTGTGATCAAATTCCAGATGGCTTTTCCAATCCCAGTGTGATCGTTCACTCTGAAACAAATAAACACCTAAATAATAAACAGATTAGGCAGTGTCACATAAAAATGCCTTATTAGATAATTTAAAGGTAAAAAATGCACACATGTGTTATACCATGTATATTAAATAAATAACAAAAACAATTTCCATAATCATAAGAAACCTCCACTAAACCTGGGTCCATTGTACGATTCCAACAATATCATGAGTATGTGTTATGAATCAATATAAAATAGTGATAGTAGCAGCTGTTTGCGAAGGTTAGTGTATCCTGCCCCACTGGTGTCATCTGTCACACACACATGCAAGTCATACACAATCTTTTTGGCTTGTGGCTCTGCCCTTAAGATGACATGTTCCAAATAACATCAACATTAATGTTCTTCCTATTCAGTGTCTACATCTATTACCGTATTCTTCATAGTGCACATGTTTTAATTGAAATTTGTCACCCATCTTTCCCTGAGATTGGGGATGGTGAGTTCGACTTCGGACAGTCTTTGTGCCCATTTCAATGCATAGTTGGTTGACTGCTCCCTTAAACTCCGAGCCTTGATCACACTGTAATATCCTTGGATTTCCCCATCCATACTCAAAGTAGATTTTGTGGAGTTCCACAGCAACTGAACTGGCTCTTTTGTTTGAAAGAGGCCGAAGCCACAAGAATCTAGTGAAAACATCAATCACTGACAAGATGTAAATTAATATTTCACCATCATTTTCTGCAGGCTTTCCAGTTAGTTCCACAAGGTCAACCTGATGTTGCCCCATTGGTGTTGTTGAGATCACCGGTTTTAGTTTGTCGACATTTGCAATTTTAGGACGTAACAGTTGCCTGTCATCCTGCCTGTCTATAAACTCTTGTATGGCTTCCTGAGAAATGCCAGCATAATATTGGTTTATCAATGTTCTTATTTTGCTCCAGAACCCCGCAACTCAGTGTAAAATTTGCATATGACCTTAACAAGTTCTGACTTTGATACCACTATTTTCCTGTCCCCATCAATAATCTCCTGTCTGTATTCTCCTTTGACAGGGTTGTGAATTTCTGTCAAATATTTCTATGAATCGAGGAAAATTCAAATAAACAGAAACTCAGAACTATTTCTTTCTTATTGATTGTGCAGGTGGTACATGGTGATAGTCTTAACATAAACTGCATATAGAGTTACTGTTTTTTATTATAATGACTGCCATATCAGCCTTTCAAATCACAAGGTTCCCTGAAATGTGTTCATATTGTAATATATATGGTAAATAAAGCCTACAACAGTCAGGCAATGTAAACATGTAAACCTTTATACTGTGCATTATTTTAGTTTTTCAGAATACCTGGTTTTCATATTGATTGTAAAGAGAGAAAGGGAAACATTTCCCACAATCACATCTTGGGAAAGAACTTTTCAAAATGTCTTTACCATGTTTACTACTTGCAGAAATGGTCCCTATTTTAGTGTCATGTATTCATACAGAACTGTAATGGAATGTCATACTCACTATAAAAAGTACACATCGGAGGCTCACGGTAATGTGACAATCATAAAAATGTTATTTAGCATAGGTTGTAGAAGTAGAAGGAGCCTTGATATACATATATATTCATTATTATAGTTGTTTGTCATTTGAATAATTAATGAATTTTAATTACGTACATGACTGGATTGCAGTTCATGATATATCAATAGAATTACAGGTAACAAATAACCTATTCATATATTCATTTTCTTTGATGGTTGTCTTTTTTCACTGTGTTGAACTGACACTTCCACAAAAGTAATTGAAAGGTTACTCAACAGTTAACTTATTTCAATTCAATAATTTGTGTGGAGGCTGGATATGTTTTCAGCTTACAGCTGCAAAACCAGATTTTCCTCACATAAGTCTATGAACCTGTGTAGAAACCGATTAGTTCTGAGCTTAAGAGGGAATCTGATCTTGCATGATTTGCAAGTATGTCAAGAAAATCTCAAGTATGTCCAGTTGAACACTCTATATGTGGCCAACAACAAAAGAAGTAAAGAACCCCTTCATCCACAGATCATACCTTAAGTTGGTTTGTTGGTGGGTTTGTTGTTTAACGCCGCACTCAGCAATATTCCAGCTATATGACGGCAGTCTGTAAATAATAGAGTCTGGACCAGACAATCCAGTGATTAATATCATGAGCATCGATCCACGCAATTGGGATACGATGACATGCATCAACCAAGTCAGCGAGCCTGACCACCCGACATACCTTAAGGAAACTTGGGCTAGTATTTGAACAGTTTCATTTTGATTACTATTTTTCATACAATAAAAGACAATTATGTCTCAACATAACGTGACCTACTATGTAGTGCTACTAATTCCTCAAAAAGAAACAATTTGAAATATTGGAAAATATGATACTTTCATATTTTTTTAACAAATGAAGAATACAGGTCCAAATTGAGAAACAGAATTTTATTTCTATCCTATGAACATGGTGCTGCAAATACTCAGGTTTGCAGGTCTTTTCTTCAAGACTTTCAAAATATTTATTATTACCAAAACAAGATTTGATATGAGGAAATTAGTATCATACATGGCAATTATCACTGCTAATTACCTGAGATATGTCAATTTTTAAAAAGGTATGCTGAAATGTATATGCCTAAAGCAATCATATTACTAACCTGCAATGTTTAACTGTCATCAGGACAGATAATTGTAGCGCCAATCCAACAGAAATATAACAAGGAGACACGATTCAATGTTACACACATGGATCGTTGATACAAAACAGTACCTGGAACAGTTGAAAAGTCATTCACATTCCATAAACAACCACATACAACAATCTTATATTCTTAGCTACTAACTTCAGGAAGCAATGGTCATTGGCCTTTTCAATGAAACAAGTGTTTTCATTGGCTAATTCATCATCACTGACAGAAAGGAGGAAAGAGCAATACCAGATCAGTGACCATTAACCCTGGTACCGAGGATGGCATAATGTTGCATCCTACACACACCAACATGCCAGCTCTCTGTATTAATGAGATCAAAAGCATGCTGTGTATTGAATGGAAGAACACAGTGCCCCTTTGTGAGTGCACCATACAAACATAAAGGGGTGGAAATATACAGGTATCTGTAGAGGACCTACATTAGCAACCTTAGGTATGGGTAATTTATTATGGGGGAGTGTGGGGTTGAGGTTAGGACCATATTTAGATGAGACTATTTCCTAATTCCTCATCCTGAGTGAGAAGTTAGCATGTAATGTTCTACTTAATGTTAACTGCCTCTGAATTCAGTTCTCTATTAGGAAGTCATTCTTGGTCCAGAAACTTAGCATACTACTACACAATGTTTTTCACCCAATTCTGACAGAACATCATAGCACAGCAAACAGGGATTCCAGGTTGGGTATCCAGCAAGGTAGATCTAATAATACCTCCACTGACAAATACAGGGAGTAATAGCTACAGAGTACATTGATTTAGTGCAGTGACTGCACACAGAGAGGCAGCTCCACGCACTGGACTTCAGCCATGCATGCCTACACTGTTAACACAGATTCACTGACAAATACAGGGAGTAATAGCTACAGAGTACATTGATTTAGTGCAGTGACTGCACACAGAGAGGCAGCTCCACACACTGGACTTCAGCCATGCATGCCTACACTGTTAACACAGATTCACTGACAAATACAGGGAGTAATAGCTACAGAGTACATTGATTTAGTGCAGTGGCTGCACACAGAGAGGCAGCTCCACGCACTGGTCTTCAGCCATGCATGCCTACACTGTTAACACAGATTCACTGACAAATACAGGGAGTAATAGCTACAGAGTACATTGATTTAGTGCAGTGACTGCACACAGAGAGGCAGCTCCACACACTGGTCTTCAGCCATGCATGCCTACACTGTTAAAACAGATTCACTGACAAATACAGGGAGTAATAGCTACAGAGTACATTGATTTAGTGCAGTGACTGCACACAGAGAGGCAGCTCCACACACTGGTCTCCACCATGCATGCCTACACTGTTAACACAGATTCACTGACAAATACAGGGAGTAATAGCTACAGAGTACATTGATTTAGTGCAGTGACTGCACACAGAGAGGCAGCTCCACACACTGGTCTTCTGCCATGCATGCCTACACTGTTAACACAGATCCACTGACAAATACAGGGAGTAATAGCTACAGAGTACATTGATTTAGTGCAGTGACTGCACACAGAGAGGCAGCTCCACACACTGGTCTCCACCATGCATGCCTACACTGTTAAAACACTGACCATCGTTTATATGCTTTAACAGTTGCATCTCACCTGGCAAGCTGGCAGAACCTCTTGAGGTGCACACTGACCGTCTGCCTTGAGGAGCCGAGCAAGCCGCCCATTGTTGCTGTAATGGGAGAGAGAGTGAATGAAACGTTTCAGTCTAGATGGGGTTGTACATGGTCAAAGGAATCAGGAGGGGCCTATGCCCATGACTGTCTGGGGGGTCCAGGAAGGGGGCACCCAATCATTGTAGACTTAAGTCCTTAACAAGTAGAGAAAGATGTATTGTATAAGTATGGAGCTTGGTGACAAGGGTTTTTTACTGTGTTGGGTATGAAAGTTACAGCAAAGATATGTCAATGTTTTGATCAGGGCTACTGTGGTGCATCACTGAATGTTTCGGAGACAGGTGAGTTGGGTTGACTGTAATTCACGTAACTTTCGATCTGTCCGAAGTCGAGGCTTGCAAATACAGTTCAGCACAATCTTCAAAGACACATAAACTACATGTAATATACCTGATGTTGAGATTGTGAGTGAAACATCGCGACGACAGCTGAGTCAGGGATGCTTTCGGAGAGGTCAACCAGCTGAAGATAGTGTCACGTGCATACATAAGCCACGCCCACTCATGAATATTGCAGACTTAAGACCATAGTAGGTTTAAGGGCACAATACGTAGGGCTTGTCAACTTTCTTTCCTGCAGCATTGTGGCCTGGGTAGGTTGGTTGGTTGGTTGGTTGGTTGGTTGTTTAACACCGCACTCGGTTTTTCCAGCTATATGACGGCGGTCTGTAAATAATCGAGTCTGGATCAGACAATCCAGTGATTAATGTCATGAGCGTCGATCCACGCCATTGGGATCAATGACATGCATCAACCAAGTCAGCGAGCCTGACCCCCTGATCCCATTAGTCGCCTTTTACGACAAGCATAGTCACCTTTTACAGCAAGCATGGGTTGCTGAAGACCTATTCTACCCCGGAATCTTCACGGGTCTGGCCTGGGTAGGTAGCAGCTTTGCTTTGCGGTGAAGGGCGGAGATCAATCTGTACAGGGTCAGCTCCTGTTCACCACACTTGGAGTTAAGGCGTCTATGCCAACCTGTGAGTAAAGAAGATATGGAATCAAAATGAATTCATAGAGCGAACTATTGATTTTAACATGATCAATATCTGTGGCCAGGCCATTGTATGTAACAGTGTTGACCTGGTGGTCAGGGTACTGTATGTAACAGTGTGATCTGGTGATCAGGTCACTGAAAGTAACAGTGTGATCTGGTGGTGAGGTCACGGTATGTAACAGTGTGATCTGGTGGTGAGGTCATTGTAGTCAACAGACTAGTTGACTATTTACAGGTCATGGTCATACAGCTGGAATATTGCTGAGAGTGGTGTTAAACCACAAACAAAAAACTGAATAATGTTGTTGGTTTGAAGTGAGAGGACAATGTAATATTCAAAGGAACATTATGGGACAATGACTAAAGTCCAATGTTAAGCATCACCACAAATATTGAGATCTAAAACAGGGTTTGAAATTAACCATGAGACTCAAAGGGTACATGATCCCGGGGTAGAATAGGTCTTCAGCAACCCATACTATGTTTGTCGTAAAAGCTGACTAACAGGATCGGGTGGTCAGGTTCGCTATCTTGGTTGATACATGTCATCAATCCCAATTGCTTAGATCGATACTCATGATGTCAATCACTGGATTGTCTCGATTTTTTTACAGACCACTGTCATATAGCTGGAATATTGCTGAGTGCGGTGATAAACAACAAACAAACAAAACAAACAAAGGGTACTTGTCATATGAAAAGTTGAAAATTTACGGGGGGGGGGGGGGTCCTTAATTCAAATTCTATAGCAACAAACCTGGAGGACCCCAGGACCACCTTTGTTTCCAACATATAAGAAAACAATTCATAACATTTAGGACTTCCGTTAATTTCAAACACTGCCAAAGATTTTTGCCATTTCTTATAAGAAAAGTAATTCATAAATTATACTGGCATGAAAAACATATATGATTTAAGGTATCATCTTCCTATACTGGTCCCTATCTTGTCAAAAGAAACTAATGGGATTGGGATGTCAGATTCGCTTATTCAGTTTATGCATGTCCTGGCATTCTGATTAATTGATGTTCATGATTTCAATCACCGGATTATTATTATTACAGACGCTGAATATAGCTGAAATACTGCTGAATGAGGCATTAAACAACAAATAAAACTGGCATGTGCAGCTTTGAGCCCTATAACTCTGCAGCTTCCTCAGCTGTTTCTTGGAAGGTTTGAAAAAGTTTACTTTAATTTAGGTTAAAATCAATTAAAAAAAATAAGTTCTATTATAAGTCCCATTGTATATTTTACATCATATTTTGGTCTGTGAGAAATAAAGTCTGAAAGATTCTTTCAGATTTTTTACCATTTTATTTTGGAAGTAATTTTTTTTTTTTATTCTCCATGCAGGAACAGCTCGGAGTCAAATGTGTTTCTATATAGCATATCAAGTTTACTGCTTTCTGTGCCTAGTGGATATTGAGTCGTAGTTTTTAAAGATTACATATAATTTTACGAAGGCAAAGTTACGGTCAAAACATGCTATTTACATACCATAGTTATTGGCCACTTCAAATATATTTAATTATCTGTACAAATAGCACAGGGTCATGGCTAACAATTGCGTGCTTGCCATTTAAACCAAAGAGGAAAAGAGAGTTTAGGCTGACAATATAAGAGAGATATCACGCGATTTTAAACATCTTTGTGTTTTTTTATGAGAAATTGTCAAAACAACCCAAATTCACACTGGATACACTTACGGCGCATCTGCGAATACAAAAATGCGGTTCATTCACAATTAGCGGTCATAATATATTTACGAACATTGCTCCGTTATTTCCTGAGAGGAGAGAGGATTCACACCAATGAGCATGTCTTGCCTCGGTCGCACCCAATGCCCGTTGGTGCAGTCGAATGCAAGTATTGCTAGATCCGTGTCTACAACTTAATCTATAAAGGCAAAATATCCTTTAAAAATATAAATAGTGAAGACACTACCTTATGTATCCACGGGCTGATAAGGTATCCCATGACATATCACATTTTGCTTACAAACAGCTAACATCGTCGTTATCATTTCTACAATTCACTTCCTGGTCGCCATTTTGTTCAAGAAAGTTCAAGGTCGTGTTGGAACGTGCTACACTAACGCTTAGTCTCTGAAAATATATAATTTTGAAAGAAACAACTCCATTTAAATTGAAAAGGAGCCCAAGTGAGATGGGAGATTCCTGAACCTGAGGACAATCTAGATTTGCTATTGCATTGCAGAAAGGGCTGGGCGGAAGGGAAAAGAATATGGTTCAGGGACTGTACGTGAGACATTCTAGGATCGGCTTTTATCCACACATACAAATAATGTTAATTTTGTCAATATCTCTATTTTCTTCTTTTTCATTTACAGTTTTATACAATAGATCGAGGTAGAGGTGCAGTTTAATATTATTCCACCACTATCCTTTTTGCAATTTCTATTTTAAAACAGTGTCAATAGATATCTGTGTGTGTATATTAGAACAATGTGTGACTCACAGTTTGAAAAGTACAGTAATTTCGAGTTTATTCAACTTACTTTCTATATCTGTCAGGTTTACACAGAATATTAGATTTGGAGCCAGTCTCTATGTAATTATGCAAGTTTCAACACAACACACGCAGAAGAGGACCAGTCTGGTTGAAATCTCCCATATAGTAAATTTAGATAGATCTTTCACAGAGGGCTTGAAACTCTCAAAAACATGACGTCATTGCCTTTGTCCTTTCATCTTATAAACTTGACAGTGACTCAGCTATCAGTAGTATCAAGTCAAATCCCAGCTTGGCATGAAAACCTGTAGGTTTTAAGAAATACTTAAAATCAAAAGGCGTGTGCTTCATAACTTAGATTGCCGGATTTGCACTAATACGACAATTTCCTCTGTAAGGAAGAATGGATTTGTGTTACCCAAACTTTTATGGAAAAGTGTTCTTCATTATGTAGATAAATTCAAGACAACGTCTCGTGAGGTGATGGCGGGTGTGGTCAGAAATTGAACAGGCAACAGAATGTGAACTAAAACTTATTGATGCTAAACAGAAAAAAAGAAACTTAGATTTTCACAGCTGGCTTAAAGTATTTTGGGGATCATGAAATCATGCCATGCAGTGTTAAACATGAGTACATAACTGACTATAAAACTTATTGACGCTAAACAGAAAAAGAAACAGCTGCTTAAAGTATTTTATGGTATCATGAAATCATGCCAAAAAGTGTTAAAGACGAATACAGAATTTGCCATGTACAATTTGTGTTTGTTTGTTTGTTTGTTTGTTTGTTTGTTTGTTTGTTTGTTTAACGTCTCCAGTGGAATATATGGCTGCGCATGTGACAGCTCTGTAGACCATCTGGTTTACATTTATATATGGGGTGTTTTCTGCTGGCACTCGGGGGCTTTATTGTGTTTATAAATGGGGATTACAGTGCTTAAGAAAAAAGGACATGATGGGTTATGGGAAGCTGTGATTTTTCAGTCAGCCCTTCACAACATGTGTAAAGACATGCCAAACAATACTTTTTCACTCAATACCTTGCTGTCTAGGACATTTAGCTGGTCCCAAAATGTACGATTTTTTCTTCAACTTGAAAGATCGTATGCTTCACACGCGCACGCACACACGCACACACGCACGCACGCACGCACGTACATATGTTATCAGTGGATTTCATATGAAACCGTGAGAAAGTTGTTACATGATACATCAAGATCAACATTTCCAAAGCACTTGGATTTTCATTTGATTCTGAAGCATTGTTTCAGTATCCCACCATTCATTATCATCATAGACTGCTGACTGTTCCCTCCCCTCCGGGTAGACCTGTTGTGGTATTTTTCCACTGGAGGTTGTGAGGTCCTGGAGGAGGTGGTGATATACAGTCCGGTTCCAAAACGGACACAGATATTATCAGTGAAGCATTCGAGGTACATTCGAGTTCTGTTTATAATATGACAAACTAATGGTGAAAGACAATGGAACGAACAGGCACTATTCACCAGTCATGACTCTGGTCACATTCCTAGCAATTATCACCAACGGTAATACTCACACTGACAACAGCGCAACATTGTCCGCCTTTAATTTTAATTGGTACTAAATACCGTGCCATCAAATGACATCCTGTTTGGCTAAATGCGAGTCCTAATTGATAAACATAATTCCAAAGACATAGATTATTTACATTAGGGATCGGCCCGTCCAGCCTCCTATTTATAAACCCAAAGAATTTTCAACACTTTCCGTGAATCTTAGGAAACGGTCGTAAAATATCTCTGGCTTGTGTATAATTATGTTCTTAAAAATGAGATTCTTAAAGCATTGTGATTTATTTGGTGTTTCACTCCTGAGCCTATAGCTACGAACGATTGATCCATTTAAATGTAAAATCAACAGTTTTTTGTGTGTGAAATCGGGGGAGGGGGTTAACAATAGTACATTTGTCTGCAACAAATTCATGAAAATGAGTTGGTAGCATTAATGCGAGAAACGTTGGATTACGCTTTGGGATATGTTTGTTTGTTTGTTTTTTATCGCCGCACTCAGCAATATTCCAGCTGTATGGCGGTGGTCTGTAAATGATCGAATCTGGGTCGGACAATCCAGTGATTGCTTTAACAAGCTTTTTTTGCGCTGCTTTTAGCAATATTCCAGCAATATGATAAAGGAAGACACCAGAAATGGGCTTCACACATTGAGCCCATGTGGGGATTCGAAACAGCCTACGCCATGACCAGCAAACACTTTAACCAATAGACTAGGGTAGATGTCAGGATGTTTATGCATATCTTGAAATAACGAGGTAGAAAATGAATTCTATATTTTTATATCATATATATTCAGAATTGTTATTTATAAAAATATACTTGGCAGATTTCGAGGATATGATTACATGTTTGGAATTGATGCGTTTGCTGATATACAAACCATGCATGATGGAACGATATTTGTAAATAATCAAATTTTAGTGGTCTTCTATTTAGTTTTGAATGTTGGGACGAAAATAGATATTTGTCAGTAAAATTAGCTTAATTGTTTGCATACATATGAAATAAAATATCAATACCCGTAACGCTTTATCACGTGACATAGAGTAGCAAGACTAGTTTTGCTACACAATGACAAAACGCCAATTTCGATTATCAGCCAGGTGTAAAACGTAAAAAAACGTGCAAATCATATGAATGCATCACAGACAATCAAAGGGATTTGAAAAGTTGGAGAAATTACAGTTGCATAGCACCCGCCAAAAACTAGTATGCCTGGGAAGGCAATATCCCCCGAGTAAATACATGTATGGTACACATACTTAAACAAATGATACTATGGTGGCTTTTTATAGTAAACTACCTACCAATTTGGAGTATTATGTGTCTATTATAACCCTACTCTGTTTATTTCACAAAAAGAGGACCGCCTCCGTCTAGTGGCAGAGCGTCCGCCCAGAGAGAGGAGGGTCCGGTTCGATACCTGGCCGCGTCATACCAAAATATGCTATAAGATGGTACTTGTTGTTACCCTGTTTGGCGCTCGCTTCGGATACATTCATAACATTATTATTTTGTGTCTATTGTTAGGCATCTTTCGTAATCTACCAAATGAGACAATTCTAAGTCTATTTCAAGGCAAGCGGTTTATAGCACCTACGCAATAGTAGTATCGCTTGAAAAGGTCTTTCTCCCAAGGGAAAAAATGTATCATATTAATACTTACCTAAATAATAGTGTTATGCCTTCTTCGGATATATTCCAGGCATTAATACTTCATGTCTATTATTACGCGTCTTTCGTAATCTACCAAATGAGACAATTCTGGGCTCTTTCGAGGCAAGCGGTTGATATCACCTAAGCAATAGTAGTATCAATTATAAAGGTCTTTCTCCCAAGGGAATAAAGGTATCATATAAATACTTACCTAAATAATAGTGTTATGGCTTCTTCGGATATATTCCAAGCATGTATATTTTGTGTCTATTATTACGCGTCTTTCGTAATCTACCAAATGAGACAATTCTAGGCTATTTGGAGGCAAGCGGTATATAACACGTAGGCAATAGTAGTATCGCTTGAACAGGTCTTTCTCCCAAGGGAATAAAGGTATCATATAAATACTTACCTAAATAATAGTGTTATGGCTTCTTTGGATATATTCCAAGCATGAATATTTTGTGTCTATTATTACGCGTCTTTCGTAATCTACCAAATGAGACAATTCTGGGTTCTTTCGAGGCAAGCGGTTGTTATCACCTAAGCAATAGTAGTATCAATTATAAAGGTCTTTCTCCCAAGGGAATAAAGGTATCATATAAATACTTACCTAAATAATAGTGTTATGGCTTCTTCGGATATATTCCAAGCATGTATATTTTGTGTCTATTATTACGCGTCTTTCGTAATCTACCAAATGAGACAATTCTAGGCTATTTCGAGGCAAGCGGTATATAACACATAGGCAATAGTAGTATCGCTTGAACAGGTCTTTCTCCCAAGGGAATAAAGGTATCATATAAATACTTACCTAAATAATAGTGTTATGGCTTCTTTGGATATATTCCAAGCATGAATATTTTGTGTCTATTATTACGCGTCTTTCGTAATCTACCAAATGAGACAATTCTAGGCTATTTCGAGGCAAGCGGTTGATAGCACCAAAGCAATAGTAGTATCACTTATAAAGGTCTTTCTCCCAAGGGAATAAAGGTATCATATAAATACTTACCTAAATAATAGTGTTATGGCTTCTTTGGATATATTCCAAGCATGAATATTTTGTGTCTATTATTACGCATCTTTCGTAATCTACCAAATGAGACAATTCTGGGCTCTTTCGAGGCAAGCGGTTGATATCACCTAAGCAATAGTAGTATCAATTATAAAGGTCTTTCTCCCAAGGGAATAAAGGTATCATATAAATACTTACCTAAATAATAGTGTTATGGCTTCTTTGGATATATTCCAAGCATGAATATTTTGTGTCTATTATTACGCGTCTTTCGTAATCTACCAAATGAGACAATTCTAGGCTATTTCGAGGCAAGCGGTATATAACACATAGGCAATAGTAGTATCGCTTGAACAG